TTGGGATTATAGGCATGAGCCACCGTGCCCAGCCATTTGTGTCTTCTTGATTTAATGTGATTAGTGATTATACTGACAATCTCCACTCCCATTGTGACTATGTATTTATTAAACACTTTGTGCAATTTACACTTTCCTCACCAAATTACTGGAGTTAAAAAAAAAAAGTATATAATCCTATAACCAAATAGTTTGGCTCTTAATGCACTATGATGAGGACAGAATATAGGACCTTGGGTCACTTTATGAGGTGGTGAATTAGGAATGTGGATCTATATCATGATGAAAACTCTAAAGATCTAATACCTTCAAAGAAAAGGAGGCAAAAGGGCTTGACAGTCTCTACCTGAGTTTTGGGTTAAAAATAATGCCCTAAATTTGTACCACTGGCCTATTCCCTAAGCTCCCTCGGTTTGGTTTTAGTAACCACTCGAGTCACCGGAAAATCAATGAAGCAATGAATATAATCATTCTGAATCAGTTTTTTCTCTTTAGATGACTGGCAAGTACAACAGAGCAACAGAAGAATAACCTTGCAATCCAATCTGTACAAAAACAAGACTGCTAAAACTTGTAACCAACATTATAAAACAGAAGGGACTATTCCACTGAGTTGGAGTAAGTAAAATTAGTCACAACAGCTTTAGATATTAGAATAATCAAGTATGAGTATTTAATTTTTAATTTACATATTATATGTATATATTTTGTTTCTATATTAAATATTTAATTTATAGAATTCACATTAATTTATTAAAGGACTAAAATATTCAAAGTTAAAAACATAAAAAAGTTCAAAAAGGAAAATCTGAAATAGGAGAGAGAGAATTTCTAGAAATTAAAACATGATCACTAAAATAGAAATTAAATAGGTCAAGTAACATATTAGACATAGCTGAAAATGATTAAGGAACAAGCCTAAGGAAATTACCCAGAATGCTGCTCAGAATTAAGAGATCAGAAATTGACCAAAAAAAAAAAAAAAAAGAAAGCCTAGAAAAAAGGCAGAAAACGACAGAATGAACAATAATACAAGAAAAATATAACTTTCAATCTACAATTCTATATATGGAATGTGGACAAAAGTAAAGACAATCCTAAAACTCTGAATTTTCATTGAAAAATCTAGTTAAGAATGTGTTATACTATGAAAAAAACACATACTCAGAAGGAAGATGGAATAAGGAAGAAAGAATGAGGACAAAAAAAAAAGATTAAAAGACCTGCTTTTTGGGTTTTAAATTACATCTTTTCCTAATTGAATACCCTGTATTTGTTTTTCTTGCCTGATTGCCCTGGCCAGAACTTCCAATACTATGTTGAATAGGAGTGGCGAGAGAGGGCATCCTTGTCTTGTGCCAGTTTTCAAAGGGAATGCTTCCAGTTTTTGCCCATTCAGTATGATATTGGTTGTGGGTTTGCCATAAACAGCTCTTATTTTGAGGTACATTCCATCGATACCTTGCTTATTGAGGGTTCTTAGTGTAAAGGGCTGTTGAATTTTGTCAAAGGTCTTCTCTGCATCTACTGAGATAATCATGAGGTTTTTGTCTTTGGTTCTGTTTATGTGATGGATTATGTTTATTGATTTGTGCATGTTGAACCAGACTTGCATCCCAGGGATGAAGCCAACTTGATCGTAATGGATAAGCTTTTTGATGTACTGCTGGATTCTGTTTAACAATATTTTACTGAGGATTTTCGCATCAATGTTCATCATGCATATTGGCCTGAAATTTTCTTTTTTAGTTGTGTCTTTGCCAGGTTTTGGTGTCAGGATAATGTTGGTCTCATAAAATGAGTTAGGGAGGATTCCCTCTTTTTGTATTGTTTGGAATAGGTTAACTCCAAGACAAATTTCTGAGTCACAGTATACTAAATCATTCACAAAAAGTATACAGTATATACCAACTTAACTGAATTTTATGGCAAAGTTAATTTTCTTTTTCTTTTTCTTTCTTTTTTTTTTTTTTTGAGACGGAGTTTTGCTCTTGTTGCCCAGGCTGGAGTGCAATGGCACGATCTTGGCTCACTGCAACCTCCCCTTCTCGGGTTCAAGCGATTTTCCTGCCTGAGCCTCCCAAGTAGCTGGGATTACAGGCATGCGTCACCACACCCAGCTAATTTTTGTATTTTTAGTAGAAACAGGGTTTCTCTATGTTGGTCAGGCTGGTCTTAAACTTCTGACCTCATGATCCACCCACCTCTGCCTCTACCTCTCAACGTGCTGGGATTATAGGCATGAGCGATTGTGCCTCGCCAAAGTTACACTTTTCATATTGTTATGATAAATGAAGTTTGTAGCTCAAAATAGCTAGGCCTATTGCTACATAAAGTACTGTACAATTAGTAAAATGTTTATAACATTTATCTTATAATATCTGATAAAAATTATCTGATTAATAGCTTTAAATCACTTTGTTTCAGAGAAAAAATATTTGAACTTGTTTATTTGGTTAAGATATTTTATACATTAATTCATTTATTTAAAATACATTTACTGAGTATTTTCTATGTGCCAATACTTTCAGACACTGGGACAACAAGGTCCCCACCCTCAGCAAATTTCCATTCTATTGCAGGAAAACAGACAAAGTAAACGATGTGATTTGAGGCTTTTGCAAGTATTGTGAAGAAAATAAAGCAGGACAACGTGATAGAGTTACAAGATGTGTGAGTGTATGGTAACATTAGATAATATGACCAGAAAGGCTTACCTCAGGAGGTAATATCTGATGATTTTTACTAGGTTTGAATGATATTAGGTGACCAGTATTGCAGAGAAAGAGTCTTTCTGGCAGAGGGAATGGCAAATGCAAATGCAAATGTTCTGAGGGTAAGAACAAATTTAGTTTGGGGTGCAGAAAGTATGCTTATGTGCAGGACCATGGTTAGAAAAAGCAAAAGTAGTAGCAGACAACTGTGCCTGTTTTAGGTATGACTATGCAGTTAACAGAAAATTTTAATTAATGACAAAAAGATAGGCTAATTATATTATTATATGTATTAAAACTAAGCTTCAGGATGCATTGGCTTTTGAATTTAATATATTATCTTTTTTGAACTCCTATAAGTACTTTTTAAATTATAACACATACTTAATGTATATCTATAACACATACATAAGTATACACCTCAAGATGTGTTTGTGAAGTGAATACACCAATGTAATGATTACCCAGATGAAGAATTAGAACATTATCAGCACCTCTGAAGTATGCCTGTTCATTCCCGCTTTCAGTCACTTTTCATTCACTCCCTCATCTGTTAACCTTTCTTCCTTATTCTACTTCTTTTTTCTTTTGTTCAACATTATGTTTGTGGAAGTTTCATGCATATCTTTGCAAGTATTTGTACTTCATTCATTTCTATTGTTGTATAATGTTACATTGCATAAATATGAAACAATTTGTCCATTCTACTGTAAAAAGCAATAAGGATTTAGTTATTTCCAGGTTGGACACAAATAATTTTGCTGTGAAGGGTTTTATACATGTATTCTGGTAAATATATGTATGTATTTTTGTTGGGTAATTGACTGAGGAGTGTTAATTGCCAGGTTATTAGGTAAGCATATATTCAGCTATGAAGAAAGTGCATCAACTGGCACAACAACCAGCTAGCATCATAATGGCAGGATCAAATTCACACGTAAGAATGCTAACCTGAAATGTAAATGAGTTAAATGCCCCAATCAAAAGACATAGATTGGCAAATTGGATAAAGAGTCAAGACCCATCTGTGTGCTGTATTCAGAAGGCCCATCTCACGTGCAAAGACACAGGCTCAAAATAAAGGGATGGAGGATGATTTACCAAGCAAATGGAGAGCAAAGAAAAGCAGGGGCTGTAATTCTAGTCTCTGAAAAAAACAGATTTTAAACCAACAAACATCAAAAGAGACAAAGAAGGGTATTACATAATGGTAAAGTTATTAATGCAACAAGAAGAGCTAACTATGCTAAATATATATGCACCCAATACAGGAGCACCCAGATACATAAAGCAAGTTCTTAAAGACTACAAAGAGACTTAGAGTCCCACACAATAATAATGAGAGGCTTTAACACCCCACTGTCAATATTAGACAGATAAACAAGACAGAAAATTAACTAGGAAATCTAGGACTTGAACTGGACCAAACAGACCTAATACACATTTACAGAACTCTCGACCCCAAATAAACAGAATATATATTCTTCCATCTTTTTTTTTTATTTGTAGAGATGGGGGTCTCATTATGTTGCCCAGGCTGGTCTTGAACTCTTGGCCTCAACCAGTCCTCTTACTTAGCCTCCAAAATTGTCAAATAAGTCTCAATGTATTAAGACAATTTATAATACTTAAAATAGACTGCTAAAGAATAAAGCTTTTGATTAGTTGAAGCTTATTATTAGCAGTTGTTGTTAAATAAACCTAAAATCTAGCAATAAAGAAAAGGTAAAATGCTACTAGAAAAATCTTAATACTACCTAACAGTTACTATTTCCTAAAATGACTGTCTTTTATCTGCAAGACAGCTAAATAACAAATTTTATAAACACATAACAACTGTATGTACTTATGGGGTACATATGATATTTTAATACATGCACACAATGTGTAATAATCAAATAATGGTATTTGAAATATCCATCACCTCATATACTTATCATTTCTTTGTGCTGGGAACATTTCAAATCTTCTATTTTGAAATATAAACTATTGATAACTATAGTCATGCTACTGTCCTATAAAACACTATAATTTATTATTTATTCTTTCTAACTAGGTATATGAACCCATTAGCCAATTTCTCTTTGTATATCACCTTCTCACCCTCCCTAGCCTCTAGCAACCACCACTCTACTCCACCTCCACAATATCAACAAGTTCAGCTCCCACATATGAGTGAGAACATGAAATATTTATCATTCTGTGCCTGGGTTATTTCATTTAACATAATGACCTCCAGTTCCATCCATGTTGCTACAAATAGCACAATTTCGTTTTAGGGCCGAATAGTATTTCATTGTATACAACTTTATTCATTCATCTGCTACTGGATACTTCAATCAATTTCTTATCTTGGGTATTGTGAATAATGTTGCAATCCATTGGGGACACAGGTATCCCTTTGCTATACTATTTCTTCTCCTTTGGATAAATATCAAGTAGTGGGATACTGTTTTCCATAATGGCTATACTAATTACATTTCCACCAACAGTGTATGAGTTCTTTTCTTTTTTTTTTTTTTCTCTTTTCTTGGGAAAAAGGAGAGAAAAAAAGAAAAAAGAAAGAGAGAAAGAAAAAAAAAGAATGAAAGAGAAAGAAAGGAAGAGAAAGAGGGAGAGAGAACGAGAGTCTTGCTTTATTGTCCAGGCTAGAATGCAGTCTAAAAATGGGTATTAAAAACCTCTTTTATTCCAATAATTGTGCTTAACAATGGAGACAGGAAGGAATAAGGGAAGAAAATTAACAAACAAGCAGCCAACGAATATTTTATTTAATGCTATGCAATTACTGAGGAGTGATTTACTTCCAATTATGTAGTCACTTTTAGAGTAGGTGTGATGTGGTACTGAGAAGAATGTATGTTTTGTGGATTTGGGGTGGAGAGTTCTACGAATGTTTATTAAGTTTACTTGTTCCGGGTCTGAGTTCAAGTCCTAGATATCCTTGTTAATTTTCTGTCTCACTGATCTGTCTAATATTGACAATGTGATGTTAAAGTCTTCCACTATTATTGTGTGGGAGTCTAAGTCTCTTTATAAGTCATTAAGAACTTGCCTTATGTATCTGGGTGCTCCTGTATTGGGTGTGTATATATTTAGGATCTTTAGCTCTTCTTGTTGCATTGATCCTTTTATCATTATGTAATGTCCTTTTTGCCTCTTTTGATCTTTGTTGCTTTAAAGTCTATGTTATCAGAGGCGAGAATTGCAACTCCTGCTTTTTATTTATTTTTTCTTTTCAGTCTCCATTTGGTTGGTAAATCTTCTTCCATCCCTTTGAGTCCTTGTGTATCCTTGCACGTGAGATGGGTCTGGATGCAGCAAACTGATAGGTTTTGGCTTTTTATCCAACTTGCCAGTCTGTGTCTTTTGATTGGGGCATTTAGTCCATTTACATTTAGGATTAATAATAATATATGTGAGTTTAATACTGCCATTTGGTGATAGCTGGCTGTTTTGCCCATTAATTGATGTAGATTCTTCATTATGTTGATGCTCTTTACCTTTTGGTATATTTTTGTAATGGCTGATACTGGTTGTTCCTTTCTATGTGTAGTGCTTCTTTCAGAAGCTCTTGTAAAGCAGGCCTAGTGGTAATGAAATCTCTGAGTACTTGCTTGTTCACAAAAGATTTTATTTTTCCTTCACTTATGAAGCTTAGTTTGGCTGGATATGAAATTCTGGGTTGAAAGTTCTTTTCTTTAAGGATGTTGAATATTGGCCCCCACTCTCTTCTGGCTTCTAGGGTTTCTGTGGAGAGATCTGCTGTGAGTCTGATAGGCTTCCCTTTGTGGGTAACCTGACCTTTCTCTCTAGCTGCCCTTAGCATTTTTTCCTTCATTTCAACCCTGGTGAATCTGACAATTATGTGCCTTGGGGTTGCTCTTCTTGACGAATATCTTTGTGGTGTTCTCTGTATTACCTGGAGTTGAATATTGTCCTGCCTTCCTAGGTTGGGAAAGTTTTCCTGAATAATATCCTGAAGAATATTTTCCAGCTTGGATTCATTCTCTTCGTCACATTCAGGTACACCTATCAAATGTAGATTAGGTCTTTTCCCATAGTTCCATATTTCTTGGAGACTTTGTTCCTTCCTATTTACCCTTTTTTCTCTATCTTGTCTTCTTGTTTTATTTCATTGAGTTGGTCTTTGACCTCTGATATCCTTTCTTTTGCTTGATCAATTCGACTGTTAAAACTTGTGCATACTTCGCGAAGTTCTCGTATTGTGTTTTTCAGCTCCATTAATTCACTTATATTCCTCTCTAAATTGTCTGTTCTCGTTAGCATTTCATCAAACCTTTTTTCAAGGTTCTTAGTTTCTTTGCATTGGGTTAGAACATGTTCTTTTAGCTCACAGAAGTTTCTTATTATCCACCTTCTGAAGCCTGATTCTGACAATTCATCACACTCATTCTCCATCAGGCCTTGTTCCCTTGCTGAGGAGGAGCTGTGATCCCCTGAAGGAGGACACGCATTCTGATTTCCGATGTTTTCAGCCTTTTTGCACTGGTTTCTTCCTATCTTTGTGGATTTATCCACCTGTCGTCTTTGTAATTGCTGACTTTCAGACTGGGTCTCCGAGTGGACGTCAGCTTGTTGGCAGTGATGTTATTTTGTGTTTCTTTGTTTTCCTTCGGCAGACGCCCCTCTCCCACAGAGCTGGACCTTCCCGGGTTCAGCTGTGTTAGCTGTGAAACTCTCAACCATCAGTGTTTCCAATTGCTGTTTTTCTGTGGGGGTGGGACCAGCTGAGCCCAATCATCTGGCTCCCTGCCTCAGAGCCCCCTTTTTTTCTTTTCCTAATTCAACGGTCGATTCTCTCCCAAGTGCCCCAGTCACCTGCTGAAAAGGCGCCCAGGATCTATGCAATTTCCCGTGCGGCGACAGCACCGGCCACTAGATTCGTGGCACTTTTCTGCCTGGGAATCTCCCGGTCTGGCTTCTGGCTTCAGTCCCCTTCTCAATCAGCTGAATGGGCGACTCTGCCTTCCCGGAGCTCCAAACGCCAACTAAAAGGGCACCCAGTCCCGCATACTCCATACTGAGAACCGCCGTGCCAGGACGCTGGCAAAACAGCTGGGCCGGCCAAAAGAGTCACGCTGGTGACCCATGGGGCTCCTCCGCTGGGAATCTCCTGGTCCGTAGGCAACAAAAATTCGTTTGGAAGTCTGGCGTCCACTCACTCCCTGCGCCTTCACTGGGAGTTGCAACCCTGAGCTGCTGCTAGTTGGCCATCTTGGATCTCTCTTATGAGTTCTCTTTTAACCACATTATTACCAGCATTTGTTATTTTTTTGCCTTTTGGACAACAGCCATTCTAATTGGGGAGAGATGATACTGATATCTCATTGGGGTTCTCATTTATGTTTTCCTGATGATTAGTGACAGTGAACAATTTTTCATATAAATTTTGGCCTGGGGTTCTCATTTATGTTTTCCTGATGATTAGTGACAGTGAACAATTTTTCATATAAATTTTGGCCATTTGTATGTCTTCTTTTATGAAGTGTATCCTGCAACTTTACTCAAGTTTTATTCTTTTCTCTTGCTTGATTGCTCTGACTAGGACTTCCAGTACAATGTTGAACAAGAATGGTGAAAGTGAGTGTCCTCGTCTTAGTTCAATTTATCAAGGAAAGGCTTTCAGCTTTTCCCCCATTTGGTATGATGATTATCTCAAAAGATGCAAAAAAAAAGCAGTTGATAAAATTTAGCACTTCTTCTTCATAAAAACTCTCAAGAAATTAGGCATAGAAGAAACAAACCTCAAAACAATAAAAGCCATATATGACAAATCTACAACTGATTTTTGTCTTTCATTCTCAATGTTTCACATTTATTGGTTTGCCTATGTTGAATCATCCTTACATCCCTGGGATAAATCCAGCTTAATGATGATGTACTGTCTTTTTGGTATGTTGTTGGATTTGGTTTGCTAGCATTTTGTTGAGAATTTCTGCATCTATGTTCATTAGAGTAGTTTTCTTTTTCTGTTGTGTCCTTGCCTGGTTTTGGTATCAGAGTAGTGTTGGCCTCAAATAATGAGTTAAGAAGAGTTCTTTCCTCTTCGGTATTTTGTGATAATTTGGGAAGAACTGGCATTAGTTCTTTTTTGTAAGTTTGGAAGAATTCTGCCATAAGTCATTCCATCATGGAATTTTCTTTGTTGAGAGACTTTTTATTACTGATTCAATCTTGTTACTCTTTGAGTTGAGGCTTTCTATTTCTTCCTGGTTCAATCTTGATAGGCTGTATGTGTCCAAGTATTTATCCGTTTTTTTCTAGGTTTTCCAATTCATTAGCATAATAGTTCATCATAGTCTCTAATGATCCTTTATATTTATTTTGGTGGTTATCAGCTGTAATGTCTCCTTTAATGTTTCTGACTTTGAGTCTTCTCTCTTTTTCTGGGCTATTCTAGCTAGTGGTTTATCAATTTTGTTTACGTTATCAAAAAACAACTTTTTGTTTTGTTGATCCTTTGTCTTTTTAGTCTCCATTCCAATTAGTTCTGCTCTGATATTTACAATTTCTTTCTTCTGTTAATTTTGGGTTTGGTTTGCTTTTCTAGTTCCTTAAGGTATATCATTATGTTGTTTATTTGAAATCTTTCTATTTTTTTGAGGTAGCCATTTATTGCTATAAGCTTCCTTTTTAGGACTGTTTTTGCTGTATCCAATAGGTTTTGGGATGTTATGTTTCCATTTTCATCTGTTTAATGAAATTTTTAAATTTCCTTCTTAACTTCTTCATTGACCCCCCAATGGTCGTTCAGGAGCACGTTAATTTTCTTGTATTAATATTTCCAATTTCCATAGTTCCTCTTATTTCTACTTTTATTCCATTGTGATAGAAGAAGACACTTGATATGATTTTAATTTTTAAACATTTGTTGAGATTATGTTGTGGACTACTATATGGTCTATCCCAGAGAATGTCCCATGTGCTGATGAGAAGAATGTGTACTCTGCAGTTGTTGGATAAAATAGTCTATAAATATCTCAGGTTAAGTTGGTCCATAGTGCAGATTAAGTCTGATTTTTTTTGTTTTTTTTTTACTGATTTTCTATCTCGATGATCTGTCCAATGCTGAAAGTGGGTAAGTCCCCAACTATAATTGTATTGGGGTATATCTCTTTTTAGCTCTATTAATATTTGCTTTATATATCTGGGGGCTCTAGTGTTGAGTGTATATATGATGTTACACCCATTCTCTTGCTGCATTGATCTTCTTCATCATGTAATTACCTTTTTTGTCTTTTTGTCACTCAGTCTATTTTGTCTGAACAATATCAAAATTTTGACAACTAATTTTTAACATTTAAATGATTCACCAAACACCAGTAAATAAATGAAAACAAAAAATTAAGTAGCTCTCTAAAACACCATGGTATAATTTTATTTCTTAATTTATTTTTATTGATTTATCTATCGATTTTAGAGATAGGATCTTGCTCTGTCACCCAGACTAGAGTGCAGTGGCACAATTATAGCTCACTGCAGCCTCAAATTCCCAGGCTCGAGCAATCCTCCCACCTCAGTCTCCCTAGTAGCTGGGACTACAGGCACATACAACCACACCCAGCTAATTATTTAATATTTTGTATAATGAAGTAAAAAAAATATATATATATTTTGCAGGAATGGGGTCTAGCTTTGTTGCTCAGGCTTGTCTTCAACTCCTGGCTTCAAGCGATTTCCCCATCTCAGCCTCCTAAAGTGCTGAGATTACAGGTGTGAGCTACCACACCCAGCCCGAGAGAGCTACTTTTAATAAACAAAGTGGATAGATTTACATATTTTAGTGGAAGTAGCAGCAAAAATGAAGAGTAATCATATTTAAATCTTACGTATGAGTTTTAAAGAAAAGGTATTTAAACAATGTTTAATGTGCATGCTCTATTAGTAGTAACACTATAAAATGTACCCTTAGTAAATAAAAGCAGCATCCTATTTTTCCTTGAAAGACAGTAGGGTTAGACAAATTAAGTGAGAAAACAATTTGTTCAAGTCTTTTTCTAGTTTCTCACTTGAAATTCACAACTACATTTGTTTCAGAAACACATTCCCAGAAATTTGCTTCTAGGTGGACACTTACTAATCTTTTAGACCTATTCTTTTTGAGAATTTGATGGCAGGTCTGGCCCTTCATTCCTTTCTGAATTGCTGAGTTTCAGAACACACATAAAAACAAAAAGTTCCTGAAACCCATTCTCAGAATCCCAGTTGAGAAGAGGGTCATTCAATTGTTTACTGCTATTGTTATAAGCTACTGCTCACAGATATCAATGAGAATTTTATGTCTGTTCGTGGGTATTCCAAAAGATTTTTTACTCAACTCAATCACAACTTTAAAAACTGTATTGTATTGTGTAAAAACTGTTGCATCTGTATTAGGTAAAGATAAAAGTATATTTTATGTATATAAGATAAACAACCACTAATCTATTGTTGGCTTAGCTACATGTAACTCAATGATTCAACATTTTAATTAAAATGATTTACCTTAACAAAGTCTCTATCAGTCTTCTCTTTCCATTCTTCTCCAAATACAGTGGAAAAGGATCCTAAAGCTTTAAAAAAAAAAATACATTCAATATAATGCAATAAATTCTTTCAATGAATTATTTAATAATAGGTAGGCTTAGAAAAACAGTAAAACTACATCTTAATATATCTTGTTAACTACAAATTGTCTTACCGTAAATGATAGACAGTCATGGTAATTTCTTTTGAAATATATTTTTTTAGATTTAAAGAAAATTTGTGTTCCTACAAATTAACAATAAGGACTCTTTTCATAATAGTTATATAGACAATAAAGAAGCGCTGCGTACTTCAGAGTTACTCCACATTGGCTTTCATTGATACATAAAAATTTTTTTTAAATCAAACTGATGTTATTGCCATTAGATTCTCAGATTTTCATTTAAAATCTTCATACTAATTTCAGAAATACTTGTGTAATTCACACTTCAAAAAACAGACAGCAAGGCACTCCTAGGAAATAATTCCCACAATTCTCTTAAATCTCCTTTAAGAAAAATTCTTGGGCCTACATCATGTTTGTGTTTCTTGATAAGGTTGTTTTATCAACAACTATGATTTTTGAAAAGTCAAACCATCAATTTTTGTAAGCTTCTTCTTAATAACACTCTGTCTCTAATCCACATGTGGCCCTTACTGCCTCACCAAAAAGCTTAAGGCATATAAATAGGTACATGCTGCATTATTTCTTCTCCTTTATGCTGCTAGTTCTAATTGTCAATACGGGATCAGACTATAGTGCTGTATGATTCAAATGTCTAAGCTGTGATACAGTATGTTTTTCCCCTTAAAAATTAGGTAAATCTTTTATGAACTATCACATTAATTCCATAATGAAAGCTACTGCTTTTAGAAAACAAAAAGAAAATTACATAATGACAACTGTTAACAGAAAAACTAGATGTTATGAACATTAATCTTTAAAAACAAAAGTTTATGTGTACTTATTGGACATGTTATGACAAGCATAACAAGCAGGTATGTTTTCTCCCATAAGAAATTTATGGAATCTTGGCAGTCTTATTATCCTTTAAGTATGAATGTAGTATTTAGTTAAAACTGAATAAAATAAAGTTTGTAAAGTGCTCTGGCTAGAATAAGAATTTTCATCTTAAAAAATATTTAAAAGGGTGAGAAACAGCAACATTTTAAACATAAATTATATTTACTAATGATTTTACTACTGACATTAGCGTCGTGAGGAAATAATATGAATAGCAGATGTAAATGTTCCGAATAAACAAATTAACTATAGTGACATCAAAAAACATTTCATAAAATATCAGACTTACATATAAGTAGCAGCTTAACCAGCAAAATGAGGCCCAGATACCACTAAAGACAGATAAGGTTTTCTTTGTTCTAAAAAGAAAGCTTATAAAAAACTTCCCTGGAGGCTGGGCATGGTGGCTCACACTTGTAATCCCCCAGCATTCTGGGAGGTTGAGGCGGGCAGATCACTTGAGGCCAGGAGTTTGAGAATGACCTGGTCAACCTGAGGAAAACCTGTCTCTACTAAAAATACAAAAATTAGCCAGGTGTGGCGGTGCTCGCCTGTAGTCCTGGCTAACTGGGATGCTAAGGCATGAGAATCGTTTGAACCTGGGAGGCAGAGGTTGTAGTGAGCCAATATGGCACCACTGTATTCCAGCCTGGGGGACAGAGCAAGACTCTTGCAAAAAAAAAAAAAAAAAAAAAAAACTCCCAAAACGCCCCTCCCCAGCAAAAACAACACCAAGCAAACAACGTTCCTGGGAGAATAATACTGGGCAGAATCATAAAATTGAAAAATAAAATTTCTTGTCACATAGAATTTTTATTACACTCGTTCAAACACACAAAATATGTAAATATTCTACTCTCTAAAGGAAGTGGCATCTACATTTCTCTCTCAATTAAAGTCTCATGCCCTAAAAATCAAATCAAAGCCTCTCAAAGTCTAACCAAATAAAATATATTTATAACCTTCAAACTCCAACCAGGATTATTTTTACATGTAAAACTATTGTTTTAAATACAAGGTCTTCATAAAGTCTCTATGTACTCTGGAACTAAACTTTCTGTGACTTCAAATAATAGACACTATACCCAAATGGCACTTGCTAAATTAACGCTGTTTTACATTACTTTTAGTCTTTCAAACAAATAAAATGCCTGAAGAATTCATGAAGATAAATTGGGTCTAAAGAAGGTCTTGTTTTAGTGCACCAAAACTGGTAAGATTACTTCTATCACATACTCAAATTATTTACACGTAATCCTATGTAATTATTAAATGTTATGACTTAAAATTATTCTGGTTTGAGAATATACATTCTTTTCAAAGGCTTCATTTAAAGTTTCTAAAAATGTGAAGCAATTTTCAACTCTGTTCTACATTAAATGCTGAAAGTTATATTTGAAAGATCAAAATAAAATAACAGAAACCAAAGAATATAAAACTGAGGTGAAAAGCCAACAAAGTTATATCTTCAAAATTATGACAGAAACTGAGAGGTAAAGCATCTTTCTTCCCCTATCTCCACCCATGTAACAAACAATAGTTCTGGGCAAGTTAAGAAACTAAT